CGCACGCCGCCCGCCCGCGGCTCCCGCGCCGGGGATGCCCCTCGCCCCGGCCCCGATGCCACTGTCGAGGAATGCCGCGTCCGGCGGTGGCGCTGCGCGGGGCCCCGGCCGCCGGTTCCCACGGTGGCCCTCCAGGGTCCCGAGCTGGGACCCCTCCTGACGTGGCCCCTGAGGAAACGGGCAAGGGTTGTAAACGGAGGTTTCTAGTTGTTGATCCCAGAGAAATGAGGGGCCAGCTTCCCACCCTCGTCCGTCTCCACACCACCTGTGGCCCTCGGCACCAGGGGTCCCGAGGCATTTTCTCGGGCTGTCTAAATTCCTTTGCGCTGATTTCTGAGTTTCTCCTTCATTTTTCGATGCCCAATATTAAGGGGTCACCCGAAGGAGGGTTTTATCACCACAGATCTGGGTTACCGGAAGCCGGCCGAGGGGCGAGAAAGATGTGTTGTGGGTCTTGGGGGCCACCTGGATGGTGTGGATTTTGGTTATTAAATGTGGGGTGACTCTGCTGAGCAGAGAGCCCAGATCCGAGAAACCGGGGAGGAAGCCAGACCTGCTGGAATGTCTGAGTCGCACAGAGGCTGGGGGACGTGACACGTGCCCCGCGCGCCTCTGGAGGTGGGGGCAGGGGCGCCAGTGAGCAGTTTCTGGTCGTGGTCACTGTTCTAGCCAGCTGGGCGAGATCTGCAGCAACTGATTGCCCTAAGTGCTGTTCGTCCTAGATAAGCCTCTGTCTGGAGTTGCACACCCCAAATCCCAACTACGAGCGCTGACGTAGTTAGTGCCTGTCCAGTTGCAATGTGCAGCCTGTCAGAAAAATTAGAATAAAAATAGCTAATGTTATATGGCACTTCTCTGGGTCTCTTTTTTCCCTAAATGCTTTGTATGCAATGATTCTGGTTTGCTTAAGTCCTCCATAAAGATACATACGCTTATTACTCCGTTTTACAAAAGAAAAAACCTAAGGCCCAGCCCTACTCCCTGTCTCCGGAGTTGTTGGTTGTACTTAGAGTAGCGTGAAGTTGGAACTGACTCATTGCCGACCCTCGAGAGGGTTTTCAGAGGCTCCAAATCTTAGCGGAGGAGACGGACTATCTTTCTCCTTACCACTAAGTAACCAGAGCTCAGAGTTGTAGCGTAGTGCCACAAAGCTGGGAACAGAGACGGCTGGATTCAGGAACTCTGCGATTTGCTCCGGATTGGCCTGCTCCAGGCGAGGAGGGGGTTCATGCTATCTTCTCATCCCCAGGACCCGCGGTCTGGCATGAGAACTTCCCCATTGCCAAGGGAGAGCGCCAGTCCCCTGTTGACATCGACACCAAAGTAGCCAAGTATGACTCTGCCCTGAAGCCTCTGAGCATTAGCTACGACCAGGCTGCTTCTCGGAAGATCTTGAACAACGGTCACTCCTTCAACGTAGAGTTTGATGACTCCCAGGATAAATCAGGTCAGTGTTTAAAAAATAACTTGGACCTTTCAGCCAGTTGTCTGTTTCCTCAGCTTCAGGGGAAGAATAGAAGGCAGTGAGGGAAAGCCCCTCGACTTTAGAAAGTCTACTGTTTTGTTTCTGCACTGTCAAATGCTGCTTGGGTAATGTCATCAGATACTAGCCTCTGAGAAATAGGCTAATTACTTGCAGTGGCCTGGGATTGTTTCCTCTGTTAAATGTAGGACACCGAGGAACTAGATGTGACTTTGTAATGTTACCAAAGGCAAGGTCCCCTGGCAATAAAGATCAGCGCTGATGAGATCTGTAAATATTACACTTTGAAGGCTGTCAGAATAGAGCTCTGGTGGCATAGTGGTCAGAACCAAATTGTCATCTTTCAAACTCAAGGGCTGCTCCACAGAAGAGAGACAAGGTCTTCTGCTTCTGTAAAGATTACAGCCCTCGGACCTATGCAGCAATTCAGTTGCTTTATAGTAGACTTAACTCATTAATGCTAATTAATTTCATTAATTAATTTGTGGAGTTGAAACTGACCCTTGAGAGTTTTTTCAGAGGCTTTAAACTGCCTGGGAAGAGATTATTCCTCTTTCTCCTTTTGAGCGTCTGGTGGATTTGAACCAGCTACCTTTGGGTTGCTGGTGCAACTCCTTACCTACTAGGTCACAGTATTTATTCTTCAGTGTTGTTGCCTATCCAGTGAAATTTTATCTTGAAGGTAGTCATAAGAAGAGTGATGAAACATGACAATAAAAAAAGTGAAATCCTCGTAAACATTGTGTTTATGAATAAATACAACTCTTGTGTGGGGCTAGTGCAATCCTGGCATCTACCCAATTATTCATTGCATTAATGAAGATACTTCAGAATCGATGCACATACCTGGCCCATTACTGACAAAACCAATTATTGTAATTTCTTTATAATAGAGCTGTTTACAGAATGGCCACTGAGTTAGGAATAGAACAGTCCCATTCAGACACAGTGGCAGGCTTCTTTGGACACTGGTTGGTTTAATTGCTGGCGCCCTATTTTCCATGAGTGTTTTCCTCTGAATGGTGTTGCAGCCACTTTGTGTTTTGTGGTGATGCGAGAGTGGGGAACAGGTGAAGGGAAATGAAAAGAGATAAAACGTGATATTACAAAGTTTTGCAATAATTACCTACAGTATTAATGGACCACTCGCACTGTAATTAGGATGTGAATGGCCAATTTATGTACTAGTTTCAAGGAGTTCTGGTGGCATAGGTTGTAGGGAGCTGCACTGCCAACACAAAGGCCATGCCTCTCTGGCAGTTCAAGTTCACCAGCCGCTCCACAGTGGAAAGTTGGACAGTCTCCTCCCATGTGATTTACAGCCTTTGAAACCGAGTGGAGGGTCAGCTCTGAGTTGGTTTGGATTCAGTAGCAATCAATAAGTGAACCATTTAATGCACTGGGTAAGCAAACACATCACACTTAGTTGGTTGAAGGTTCCAGGGCCCTGCAGGTGCTTCACAGAAAAGTGCTAGAGATCTGCTTCTGGGAAAAAAAATAAAAAATTAGCTAGTGGCACTGTGTGGAGCTTTGTTTTAGACCAATGCATGTGGGGCTCCTGTGAGTTGCAGTTGACTCAACAGCTGAGATGGAATATGGCATTAAGTCCAGTTCTGGAAGCAAAAAAGAAACCTTCCTTTCTGTCTTCACCTTATTTTTTTTTTTTTTATTACATTTGACTTTTTGAAACAATGACTCAGGAAGACAATTGAAAAGGGAATAAAATGAAGATCATCTGAGAAGTGTTTACCATCTCTCTGTGCCCTGCTATAGTATCATTATTTATTCAAATCAGGTTGAGGATTGACATTGACAATGCTCTTAAGGGCTTCTGCTACACTGTCTTCCAGATTTAACCTCTCACCCAAAGAAAGGATAGTCAAATAATTTCAATAAAGTTTCAGGAAAACGATGAGTTTCTTCCCTATAAACCCTACCCAACTCAACCCCGCCAAGTTGATTCCAATTCAAAGTGCCTCCGGAAGGCAGAGTAGAAGAGCGTGGTAGAGTTTCTAAGGCTGTAGAACCATGGACCTTGCCTTTCTCTAAGGAGCAGCTGCTGGGTTCACACTTTTGGCTGGCAGCCAGACTCCTTAACCACAGCACCACTGGAGGCCCATTGGTATGCAAAGAATACTGTGTATTTATATTGTAATGTGGCAACATGAATGACCATGGAAGTATTGTGCATATGGAAAGATTGTTACTAAATTAAACCTGTTTAGTTATCTTAAAACCAAGACAAGGGAGCTCTTCAGTGTGTAGCTGTGAGCTTTTTAAAGAGTCACAATTAATTTATATTTCAGTGTTTGGCAATATAAATCACTGTTTTTATGAGTATCTACCAAATTATATACCTCTTTGGACGCTACATCGAAACTAAATGCTTTAAAAAAAATCTCTTTCTGAAGAAGGAGAAAGTAAATGGCAAAAAAAATGGCGTCAGCCAAGCTGATTCCCTAAATTACACACAAATTTGCTAATGGAACATAGGTTGTTCCAATAATACATATTGCTAGAAAATGGATGTTGGCTTATAGTCTGGTGACTTCCAAGGATATACCTGTGTTCAGGTGTGAGCTCTGGGGACCCTGGGAATGCTAGTAACTTAGTCTACGTTTTGCTTTTCTTGATAAGAAAACTGGGGTGAGTTTGTAAAATTTTGTTAAGCGTAGTGCGTGTCACTGACGAAGGATACTGTGGACTGCCAGAAGGACAGATGTGTCTTAAAGTGCAGCTGGAATGCTCTCTAGAAATAGGAAGGTGGAGCTTTATGTCCTGGACCTTGGACATGTTATCAGGACGGACCAGTCCCTGGAGAAAGAATTATCATGTATGGTAAAAAAGGTTAACAAAATAGAAGACCCTCAACAACAACAACAACAAATTGACACAGTGACTGCAAGGGTGGGTTCAAGCTCAGGTATAGTTGTGAGGGTGACACATGGGTAGGCAGTGTTCCGTCCTGTTGTAAGGGGTCACTACAGTTGGAATCAAGTTGTCGGCACCTAACAACAACATTACCCATTTATTGTTGAGTGCCATGAAGTCATTTCTGCCTTTCAGTGACTTCTGCCCTATGGTATTTTCTAGTTGGTAGTCATGATGGAAACAGATCACCAGATCTTTGTCCACAAAGGTGCTGGGTAGATTTGAACCACCAACCTTTAGGTTAGGAGTCAAGTGCTTAATCTTATACCCCAAGGTTCTTTGTTATCCACCTAGATCTTAGGAAGAAATAGAAATGAGCTAAGCATCATGAGAGCAGGCTAGAGGCCTTTGCAGAGGAAGCTGAACTAGAAAGATAGAAATATTAATCTCCATACTGCTTTAAGTATAAAAAAAAGAAGAATGTCAAGAAACGATGGAAACATGAAGGGAGCTTAAGAGTCAGTATGAATAAGTCAGGAAAGACTTTCCAGGGTAAAGGAGGCTTACACAGAGGCCTGAAGGGTTCTGCTGGTATGGAGGAGGCTTCAGGCAGAGAGAAACAGCAAACACCGGGGGACTTCAGAAAGTACAGTGTGTGCTCCAGACAGGCAAGCAGGTATGATAAAAACACAGCGAGGGATGAATATTAAAAAGACTTGCTGCCCTTTACATGTTAGAGCTTCCTTTGTAATTCTGCCAGTACTTCTTTGACATTTTCAACTGTTTTGGTTAAATAAACGAGATTTTTTTTGTTTTCCGTTCCCCATTTCCACCCCCCCAAAAATGCAGAATATATTAAAGTATTGATAATAAATAAAAAATGGTTTCTGAATCCATTTTACCATGGTAAAAAAATATCCTTTAGCCTTCTTTAAAAAAGTTTTTACAAAGAATCCTAGACTCTCAAAGCTAGCAGGAACACTAGAGGTACTAGAGTCAAACCCACTTAAAATAAACACGAAGAAATGGAAGGTTTCAGTAACATACTAGGCATCTCATTTCCACTTTATTGTGGTGAGACTTAATGGCACTTCTTTAAAACAGAATTTGAGTAAGAATTTTTGATCACCATAGCTCACTTTTGGTCTATACATATCATATTTTTAAAAAAGGGGTTAAGTTTCTTCTAGACACTTATTTCTTGAAGTAATTTATGCATTTTGGCTACTCAGTTTATTTTAAATCAATAGTTTAACAGTTTTTTTGTTGTTAGGAATTATATTTATAATTTGCTATTGTGCAATATCTGGTTTGTCTTATTTCCTTAAAAGCTTCACTTAAATTTTATCTCTCTCCCTTACTGATATTACAGTCTTTGAGAGCTTCTCAAGTTTTCAAACTGAATCTAAATGCTATCTTATGCCCAAATTTAACTATTTAGGAACTGACCTGGCTGAGTGTATTGCTACATTTAAGCTTGAAAGAACTATGAATTTGGAATTAATAGCTTTAAGTAGAAACTTGGATTAAAGTTCTCATTGATCTTCTAAATTCCTTTAAAAAAAGCCACCTTAATGAAAAATTGCTAATCCTATTAGGGTATTGGGTGTTTTGTTTTTTGTTTTTGTTTTTTTTTTTTTGTCTTTTTTTTTAATTATTGAAAAGTACCCTGCTTGAAATAACTTATTATGTGTTTTATCTGAGAGAAAAAAGTAGTTAAATTATTAACTCCTGCTAGTACCTTATTAACTTTTTATTAATGAAATATTCATTGCCAAGTTAGAAGTAAGTAACAGTGAAAATTAATGCTTGGATTATTGGTCAAACATATCTACAATTTCTATTCTCTCGTTATCTCTCTCTTTAAATAAGTTGGAATATTTACGTTTGTTACTTCAATAAAAGAAGAGGAAGGAAGCCGGAAGAATTTACTTACTTGTATACATTTCCAACAGACCATTATCTAGGTGACAGAATGCATCTTAATATCTGAATCCAGTTAATTGTTGTTATGTACTGTCGAGTCACTTGTGACTCATAGTGACTACACGTACAACAGCTCTGAACCCTGCTCTAGCTTGGTCCAATTTATT